TGGATGGCAATATTTTGTGTCCATCATGTATGCATTTGACTTCTTCATCTTTGTCCGTGTGTCTATCTTGTCAAGGCAGGCTACTCTCGTGTGGTATTCGCAACACTGTCATTTCCGATTCACCCGTTGATCTTGTGAGCGACGATGAAGAGGAAAAGAAGGAAGAGAAGGAGCCTGAAGATGATGATCAAGATATCTTGGACCAGGCCACTATGGACGAGATCAGAAAGGCTTGGGAAGAAGACATCGCTCAAACTGAAGCAGCTGACGACGACGAGGATATGGACAATCTAGATCCTTCCAAACCGTCTGATGGTGCAGAAAACTTCAAGAGTGACAATGTCGAGACCCCATCTTTCAATGAGGACGAGATCGACTACGATCGTGATTCTGATCTAGAAGATGAAGACGAACGAAACGTGATCATCGAGATCCAGAGGAGCACACAACAATATGAGGGGAAGAAACGTCAAGATGGTGAGCCCGAGGATGAAGACGTCACCGACGACTTACATCCGGAGGCGAATCGACCGACAGATCGTGATGAACCGGGATACTATGCACAGCATGGAGCGACCGAGTTCAATCCCGAAGAAGGAAGAGACAACGAAGATCTCCCCATCTATTGTCGAGTACCGGAACCTCGAATCTATGCGCATCAAGAGAGAGCCTACTGTCAGGACGTCTCCATGAATGCATCGGGTTTGATGGATAGGTATGTGGTCAAATGTGTGCTGAACATGATCTCCCTGATGTACAAGAGCTACTATTGCACCAGCCTTACCGACTTCAAAGCAAATTGGAAAAGGAAGCGTCTGGATGTGATAAGCAAGTTCGGTACAGAGGATTTCACTGAAATCGATGACGATGGGAGACCATTGGATCCAACAGATGACATGATGAGAATCTTTGCCAACGAAAACAAGATTACGATTGAGGAGGCCTGGCACCGATTCAGAGGAGAGCAATTCATTTGCAAGGTGGCACTCGTGATCCTATCATTTGGTCATACTCCGTACTCCTTCAAGAAGGAATATGGCAACTTCGAATACTCCACCAACTTGACTGACGTCCAGCTTGAGGAGTTGAAAGCGAAGAAAGCCAGCGCAATGACTGAATTGGTACAGAAGTGCATCCATGCGATTTATGGTTGTCGGACATATTCTTACTTTAGAACCGACGTTACATCACCCAACCACAAGGTGATCGATCCTCTGGACATCATGTACTCGAGAATGAAGAGCAAATGGGAGAAGTCTATTCTGCTGATCATTGATCAACATGAGATCAGGTTGCCCCCACACGCTCAGAATGTCGTAGAGTCAATGGCCAGAAATCCCAACATTGGACATACAGAGAGATGGATGAGCGTGGTAGAACAGAAGCATGTTCAAGCTCTTACCGATCGTCTAGGCTTTGGAGATAGGGCCAAGGAGATTCAGGGCAAGAAGAAGCAGGCAGCCAAGGCAACAGCTAAGTCAACATCAACGACTAAGTCTGAAGCGAAAGCAGCATCTTCGTCAAGAGCTGAGGCAAAGCCAGCATCTACACCCAGAACCGAGGCCAAGCCGTCGTCAGCACCAAGTGAGGAGCCAAAACCTTCAACAGCACCTAAGAGTTTCGGGCCCTCATCAGCAGAGGAGAGCAAGGCGAAGGCTGCTCCAAAAGCCAGACCACATGATAAATCACCATCCAGTGCTACCGATGTGTTTGAGCAAGCTTTGCAGGAAGATCTTGCCGCCAACGCACATGCAGCAGAAGGTACAACTTCTTCATCATCCCGAGGACATTCCAAAGGAGGAGGCCAATCTGGAACATCTTGGAGGCCGGCGCTAACGCAAGAACGTCGCGAAGTACCTCAACCTTCTGAAAAGGGGAAGGGAAAGAGCAAGTCCAAGGGAAAGTCCAAGAAGGGAGAAGATGATCGGCGGGATGCTCAGGGCAGCTGGGATCATCGTGGATGGAGAGGTTATCGCCAGTGGTGATTTCTTTGAACGACTATGAGGATACCATGCAAACCAGGGAGGAAGTCATTCACCGGATGTCTATCTGATCTGAAACGCTGTAAGTGTATCATTGCAAATCATCGGATTGACGATTTGATACCATGAGCATAATGGAAGGTAGACAGTCACCGACTGTCTCTCCGACTTGCCGTTCTGTAAGTGTATCCAAACCAAAACCTACATCTTTTGAGAAGTGTGAAGTCAGTTGCCGATGTGACATCTACGTGGAAGTCACCAGTTCGGATCTACATCAAAGCGATGCTCTTTTGAGTGGATACTGAGCGAGGCCTCGTGACTGTCTCACTTGTTCAATTCGATTTTCATAGGTTCTGATCCATAGTTGCACACTTTATATGTAAAAGTCCGCTTTAGTCCAGCATGTTTCGTAGTATGAGCCTCATATGAGTCTCGCGGCAAATCATACAATTTCTTTTGTAGCACTTACATCCCTAAATTTTCGTGTGTGATCGGAACATATTGTTGCCGTTCACATGGGGGGTGCGAATGGAAGTGCAGCGACACGTACAGTGCAACTTGTACATATATATGTACCATATGTACTTTGGCTCAAGGATCAAGCGACTAGAAAAGGTGCGGTTTCCGTTCCGACGCTACGCCGCTTATGGATCGTCAGTGATAGCTTCAAACTTCGCTGATTAAGATCCACTCGCAATATAAATAATGATAAATAGGTAGATCGATAGACAAACACAGAAAGACAAATAAATAGACACAACTCCCAGCAGAACCCTACGGCTAATAGCCTGTGAGTTCGTAAACGGCGCGGTCGACCATGTATGCGCTTCTTTTTCCTTGTGCCTTGAGCCAAAATACATGTGATACATCTGGATGCTATACATAAACATTTGATTGCCATGCTACTTGCACATATATAATATATACATGTTAACATATAATTTATAGTTACAAACTTAGTTAAAACATGTTACAACTATATTTACATATAGTAATTATACGATCTATATTCCTTTTCCCTCTCTCTGCTGCTATGTGCCGCTCCCTCTCTCTTCTCCTGGACAGCTTTAAAGACACGCCCTGGTGCAGAGCCTAATCCAAAGGATTCCTCAGCCGGAGCCAGTCCGCCCGACAAGAACTGAAGAAGATCTGAGGTCTGTCGAGTTCGAGGTCTCCAGAGCCATAAGCTTTGGAGGTGGAAACAAGCAAAGGATTGTTTGGTCTGCTTTGTCATCCCAAGACTTGAATCGCTTGGCCTGCTTGCAGCATGATTACATCTTGCAACATACAACTTGCAGCAGGTTGCCCATTGCTGTAACTTGTATCATATAAATACTACTATTCTGAGCACCAATGCTGTGGGCACAATGTTAGGCAAGCAGGATATCTCATGATTCGTCAAAACTCTGAGTTGGAAGCCTTGTCCTTCAGTTTCTGCCAAAAATTCACCAAATTCAGCTCCTGTGGCAGGAGGCTCCGGCATAATCAGGGCGAAAAGCACTAGGTTCACGGGTTGTGAGTCAAACCAATCTCATTCGATATCAGAATTAGGGCACGTGGGACAATGGTTCGACTTTGATCATGCGACTAGGGCAGCATCCACATCCCTTGGAAACTCATCAATCGGTGTGCACTATCTCTCTTGAAGGTGAATCTATTGTATGCGAACATCGAGATGTGACTTTGAAGGCATCTTGATAAGAGCTACCCCCTTACTCAATGTGTCCCCCCAGGGTTTCATAAACCATTGAGCAAGAGGGATGCGTAAGATATGCCAAGATCACTGGTGGCCTCGAGTTCTTTTCGTCCTCTTCCAGGCCTCCAAGTCATGGAGTCCTTCGCACCAAGTCCCACCCAGTCGTCCGCCCAGCTCCGCTGACGTTCCCGTCCTCGGTCGGGTCGAAAACATATGAAAAAACACACGGGGTGCCGTGGATTCCTCCGGTGGGTTCTGGGTCTAGGCAGTGTAGAAGCGAAGAATCGCCACACTCGATGTTTTTTTGGGGGGTCAAGGTTCCGCGGTCGGACACGTCTGGGGCCGACACCGGCCTTTCGCGTTTTTCGTCCAGTCTGTCTTGCTGCCGTGGTTTTGCTGGGCATCCAAACACATCCGCTGAGGCATTTTGAGGATTGCCATCACAAAGAATGGCCAGGTCGATCAGGCGCGAGACCAACATATCCTGACTGAAATTTACCTGGTGCTGATATAGGGATGAGCAAACACTCAAATTCCCGACTAGTTTAACTCGTCAAATTCTATGCAAGTAAAACTCGAAGACCCACACGGAAAGTCTTATCCCATTAGTAGTGGTCTCATTCTGTGCAACATGTGACCCCTGGTCATGACTTCCCCTCACCACAAATGTCATCAACTGTCGGCACCCGATGTCTCGGCTTTTCGGGAACCATGCCAGCAGCACATCGGGCAACAAGGTGTGTCTGCTGGCCGCCGGGGACCTGACGGTCCCCATCCGGTGAAGCAGAAAACGGACGACCGGTACCAGCTGGTCCGGACGTTGAAGTGAATGCAAGGCGTGAATCCTATAGCCTCCTGGGTGAACATACGAACAAAGAAGCGACCCTCCCCATTTTTTTGAAAGGCATAAATGATCACATGCAGCCCGTTGCAAAGAGTGTTGATGAACAAACACTTACTCTTCACGTGCCACTTCTTCCCACTATCCGTCTCCTGCATATTATATTGTTGATTAACGGATTAACACTCAGAATCCAACATTTTCTGAACAGCTCTGCTTTTGTCTCGCAAACCTAGGACAGGAAGGTTATTGACATCCTTTGACAAACTTAGCAACCCATGGAACTGCGCACCATTTCACTCTGAAAACCTCCACAAATTGAACAGAACCTACAGCTGCAGTATATTGCAGTATGCGTCTTGATGCATAACGTGAACCACATCTACTCATTGATCTGGGAGATTGAGGATGTGACCTGACATGGAAAAAACCCAGGAATTTCCCTAGGCCTGGCCTGGGATACAGCCGCTCTTGCACTTCTCGTGACAAGGCCTGCGCTTTGCGCAACCAGGACAAGGCTGGTTGCTTGGGTGAGGCAAATGCAGCGGTGCAAGCCGGAAGCTGGAGACCTGGTTGGTGATCCAAGTTAGTTGGTTGATGTCAGTTGAAACATGCATCGATCTGCACGTGGAACCGCTGCAAGAACCGCTGCGGACATGAACGTGTTCAAACGTTGAGATGCCGTTTGCTTCGGATCGGAGTGGACGCTGTTCTCATCTGCCAAAAGTCGGTGGTTGACCCACCAGACTCGTCGGGCGCCCTCTTTTTGCCGCACGACAGAATCGGTGCAGATCGGCGTCCAGACCGGCAGTCTCCGGCGGTGCTCCGTCCTTGAAAGGGAAAAAGGGTGGAGGTATCGGCATGGAAAGGACAAGACTGAAAGCATTGGCACACTGCCTTGAGCAAGCCTCTAGGTTCCTTCATGTTACTTCCCCGTCTGCTGATGTGCAAACCTTGAACAAACAGCAATTATGGTGTACTCCCTAGTGTTATATAAGTGTTTATGATCGCGATGATTCATTGCAATGGGCTCCACAAACGGAGAGGCGACAAAGCTGCATTTCATAGCACAATGCCAACAGGATCCCGCTCTTGGCAAACTAAGAAGGTGCTGTTGGTCATTACAATACGTAGTATCTTGCATATTTGGAACCAACGAAATCCGCGAAATCATATGGAATCAATCTCTACCAGGCCACGAGGCTGCACCCAGGTAAGAAGGGAATTAGACTTCTGCAAGCCAGACAGGGAGCAGGTACAAGGTTGAACAACACTGCTTCACATTGCTTCACCATGCTAGAAATTGAGACTGTTGAGTGGATCTAGTACCTGATGACTCGATGACCCTCCAACTGCAGCCTTGATGGGTGGCCAGTCCTCCAAGCCTGGTAGACTCAATTTGAAGTCACCTCATGAGACCTGCGGCCAACGCCACGGTCCAGGCTTGTAGCTCCGCGACCTTGTTTCTAGTAGTAAGGCCAGGAGCCCTTATAGTAGCGTCCTTGCTCCTAGTAGCGATGCCCTTTGCTCCTAGTAGCGTCCTCATGCTACCTTCGCAAGACGGATGCAGTTCTGACCTCGTGGCTACAAGCCTGCCGATGCACATCACACACACACACACATGAACACATCGGTGCAATACGTGATCACATGCCCACAGCATTCGAACGTCTTAATCAGCAAACAGTATGTGCTTCTGCTGCTGGCGTACTGGGCATGGTCTCACAAACTCACGCAGCCAAACCCACAGCAGTGTACTTCCTGGTGCCGGGGAAGCTGGGGTCCGGTTGCTTCGTCCTGGCCCGAACTGCAGAAGTCATGCATGTGCGCCGGGCATCAAGCGCTTCAAAAACATCTGGGAAATCTGCAACCAGTGACCAGTGGGGTAGTGTAGCGAATTGATGGCGTCGTGTGGCCAAGATTGATGTATTCCGTTCTTCTTAAGACTGGAACAAGCACAAGCCCCTCTTCTTTGGGATTTTCTGTGTCAGATCTCCTGTTCCAGTCATGAAATGCTAGAGTAAAAGCAAGTTGAAAGCATTTCTGTCGAACGACCTCTGACTCTGGGCTCCTGGCCGCTCCTGGTCGCCTCAGGTGTGGAGGACTTGGAAATTGTGTGCCTCACAAGGTGGATCGCAAAGACAATCAGCTTCAACCAAGTGAGACAATAACTTATTGCGTCTTTTTCTGCAGACAATAGTTGTCCAGATTCCTGATTTGCACATGAAGTCAATTTGAATTTGGGATGCTTTATACTGGTTTGTGCCTCTACTGCATCGGGGCTCGGGGCCTGAATATGCATCATTCCTGGGCCCTTACTATCATTCCCAAGTCCCCACAGCTTCACAATAAAAGGTAAAACAGAGACACCCCTCTGATCTCACTCGAAACAGCCACTGGTCAATCGACCGTCCGTTTCGCGGCCCACATCTCTCCATCGGCGTCGCTGACGGCGTCGCTGACCGCCTGCGTCTCTGACAGCGACGGTCGCTATCACTTGAAGCCCTGGCCGTGTCGGTGACGTCGCCGGACGGGAAGACATGTGACGACGTCGCCGGCGGTCGGAGGGCCTTGGCGACTTGAGACCAGAAACAGCTTCTCAGTGGGAGTTCGGATGGATTTGGGGGGGTTCTTGTGGAAACAATGGGGACCAATAAGAAACAATGTCTGGCCGTTTGAGGAGGTCCTTTTTGGAACCTCAAAGGCGTGTAGTATAGTATAGATATGTATAGATCCAATCCCTGGTTCAGCCCGGTTCCAACCAGAAGGGACTTAAAGGTGCAACTCTCCAGCTTTTGGACCCTTCTCACCACCACTCCAAACGGCGGTTTCGAAGCTAGCATGAGCTATCGCGCTCCCCGCTCCTGAAGCACGCAAACGCTTTCACGCTTTCACCTCGCGCTCCGCATCGCTCCGCTCCACCTCCAGCACCATCTGGGCCACCTCCTTGTGCAAAGTGACATGCAAGTCCGTGGCATCTGCCACCTCCGCTGCGCGGTTCGGAGCGAGGACGTTCTGCGCGGAGCGGACGTGAACTGAGCCAGAGTGTGGTGGCCAGGTGATGAAGAGTAGATCCGATTCGGGTTGGATGCTGAAGAGAACAGCCAAAGCATAACCACACACAGTGAGACAATCAAACCAGACAAAGACTGACAGCGGCTTTCACTAAGCCTGCTCCAGCTGCCAGCTGCATTCTGAAGGTTTAACCTCAAATATTCACCCATGACCACGCTGCAGTAATCTGGGAAGATTTTCTGATGAGATTTCGGAGTACAATTTGCATCTGCGTGAGCAAAGAGAATTTCCTTTGCATGATCCGTCTGCATGGGCTGTTCCTTTCTCAAAGATTGTTCTAGAAGCAACATGATTTCTTCAATATGTCCGATCCTGTTTCTTTAGATTGCTTAAACTTGGTTTCAGTGGATGATGACGGTCCAGTTGCAGGCCTTTAGTCTAAACTAACTAGTGATGATCGTCTATCGACTCTTACATGTAATTGATAGGACAAACCCAAGCTTAAACAATTAGAGTAATGTTTAAGTATATACTGGTACCGGTATATATATATATATATATCTAAACTTCTGATTCTATGGTGACAGTGATGACTGCGCAAGGCGGCCAATGAGGATATATACCCTCAGTTTTCTTCGATCCTCATCACTAGTCACTGGTGCGGCACCGCTTCAGCTATTGCTGTGGCACCTGTGTCCTAAACGGCAAATATGACAAACTCACTCACAGTTCTCAATGACTGTTTATTCACCAGCTGGATTTGGAGCCTGAAGTAATTTAGTTTCATAGCCATCAATTCTGGACCCCATGCACAGATTCGGCGCCCTAGCAGCGACCAGGAGCTCCGCATTGATGAGAAGATCAAAGTCGTCCTAACTAAAAATCGATCCAATGAGTCAAACGGATAGTCTTGGTTCCAATCCAGATCCCTTTAGCTGCCTTGCCGCATCATGGAAGAGCTCTTTCGAGTGGAAACTTCTAAGAACCTCTTTGAACCAGATACAACTGCTGAGCTGAAGCTCTTAGAGCTCTATGTCTTCCCCTTTCAAGCCTGCTCACCTTCACGCAAAAGAAGTAAACAGGACACTGATTGCAAGCATCGGAGATGCTGGACTCTTCGAGATAAACCCCAGCCTCAGTCACGGATGTCATCCCTGGCTTCCGCAGGAAGCCCAGCAAATGACGTGGCCTGATGAGGCACCACATGGCAGGCAGCACTCCATGTGCATCGCTCCATGTGCTCCAGCCCAACATTTGGCACCGAAGTGATTTCGAAGAGAGTGAGTGATCGATTCACTCTCTTGCACGTCTTGACCTAGGCCCAATAGAACTTGAAATATCTTGAAGTGTTGGCAATTTATATATTAATACACATTTCTGTACTGCGTAAAATACCGTTGATCATCGTTGATCTATCTCATCTTTGACCATCTTGCGCCAGTGTACGGTCTATCAACATCTATCAACATCGGACGAACAGTCCCTCTCTGGCACCATCAGCCCAGGAGCGAAATCTCAATCCTCAGCTCAGACACCTGCGCTGCCGTCGAAGGATCGGGGTCAAGCCACGGTGGCTTCCCACCGAAAGACCACGGTGACGGGCGTCTTTCGGGCTCCAAGCAAAGTGACGGGCTCCCGCGGAAAGACGAGCAGTGATGGATTGGGTCATCTGTCATCATCTATAGTCTGTAGCGTGTTGGCCGGTGGTAACTTTTGGATACACTCTGTGACTCTGACATAACATGCAAAGGCGTAGGCATGCACCCGTCATTGCGAGTATCTAAAACTAGGGGGCTGTTCTGCAAAGTGGATGAGCTCATACAGTTGTCGAGAATCGGATCGATTTGAAAATCTTGGAGATCCCCAACAATCAGGACCCCCCAATGGTGTTTCCCTCTTGCCCTCTGGTGACCACAACTCCAAATTCCGACCTCCATGAACCCTCCCAACCTTCTACATCGAAAATAATCGAATCATCACCACAGCCTCATCGGACTCTCTCAACTGCTTGGTCAACCTCAGCTTGGATGCCGTGCCTTGGGCCGTCGTGGAAGCCGCAGCACCAGGAAGAGCTCCTGGTGGCTTTGTGCCCAAATGGCAGCACCTGCGTGGCACTCGGCTGGTCGGGAGGAAGGTCTGGGCTTGTGGTGATTCTCTGATTGATTGTTTGAGGGGCAGTGTCTGAAGATGGAGATCTGGCCAGAATATGCCAGAATCCCAGTTCAAGTTGCACAAGCAAACCAGCACTCGTTTCCACAAGAATCCAGTACGGGCTTGCATGTCGCTGACACGACAGAAGCTGGTTCCGAAGAACGGGGCATTCCACCCGTCCATCCCCGCGCTTGGAAGCCTGCTTCGAGCTGGGTAGCTACTGGATGGTCATTCCACCAGGGACTTCTGTCAATCATCTCACCTCGGGTTGGTTTCAATTTGCTATGCTGATGTCAATCCACCCATCCCAATGTTGGCTCCCGATTCCCATCCGGCCGTCGGCCTGAAAGTGTCGGCTTCCAGTCCTCCGGTTGATCGACCGTCAGGGGCCGCCACGAGCGTGCAAGGAAACACCGACCGTCCGGCGGTTCTCTGGGTAGTTCCCAGGGGCCCAGGCCTTTTGGTGAGAATTTTGTCTCAAGTCATGAAAGCACGGTCAACGCCTCCGATCTCCATCCCAAGTCCTTGTGAATAGACATGAGATCCCAATGCTGAGGGAATAAACACCTTTCTTGCTCACTGTTCTTACCACAAACCCAAATCGAGGACCCTCACTGTCATTCCAAGTCTCCTCCTGAAGAAACTTTCGAAGCTCATGACGAGGCACTTGAACTGAAGCCTTGTTCTCGAAAAAACGTGGGGCGACCAGAAACATGAAGAAGTTGAGTCTGTGTCCAATCCTTGTAGGTGCTTCCCACTATAGACATATTTAAGGATTACACTCCTTTTGGATATTTTTTTGTTCAATGATTGCTTTGAAAGTATCATACCTTTGGGACGACTATACTCACCTTGTAAGGCTTCATTGGCAGGAAAGGACATGGCCTTATGCCTGCCATCATCTTCCATCTTTATGCATAGACAAGACTAGGAGCATTTTTTTCCACCACAACACTCACCCAGGGCGCAAATACACTGCAGGTGTCCCCCAAATGCTTCGCTCTACTGTATAGACCTGTGTAGCATGGATTTCCCAAGAGGATTCACTTCTCAAGGTTTCTTCTGGTCGCCTCCAGGTTTCACGGTGCCTTTCATACTGAGTTCCCAGCGCCATCGCACCTCAAGTCGTTTTGTTGGTGACCCCACCAGCGTGAGCAGTTTCTCATCGTCCCCCACGCCAAAGCCCGATTTGCTTTCGGGAGATCCTCTGTGAAGTTGGCATCATCTTCCCGCTCGGATATCGAAATGGATCCTTTTGGATCATTGAACCGCCAGCGACCGCGAAATCACTTGACATCGCCCCTGGTAAAAGGCGCTAAGTGCTCAGCCCTGCCACAGGAACGGTGACAACCTGCCAATGGGAAAGCATGGTTAACTTGAAGTTGGCGACATGGGTCATGACTTCACGAAACCCTACCCACTGGAGCACTCTGAACCTGGAGCCACCGCTCTCCTCCCAGCGATGGAGAGTCTTCATGGTCTTCGTTCTTCGGCCTCGCGCCAGGTCTTCGTCTTCTTCGGCCGCTCAGAGTCCTTGTAGATCACCGGCAAGTCCTGAAGGAGCTCGTCGGTGCGCTGCGCGCGCGCGCTGGTGGCTGGGTCTTCGAATGGCGCGAGCGCGAAATGGCTGACATGATCCGCATGGCTGACAGGGTGACCATATGTAATTAGTTGACCTGGGATTTATGCATCCTTCACTGCAATGTTCATTTGTGAATCTCACCAGCCAGTGGCTCCAAGTCTTTATCCCCAACACACCAACAGAACAGGACCCTTGAACCAAGTTAAGCCACGAAAAGCAAAGACGGCTCGAAAAAAGGATGCCAAAATGGACACAGTTAGGGCCTTCTCTGGCGGCTTCACCACCACATTCACCAAATTGTGCAGGTTCACAAGTAGCTTGCAAACCTGCAGTGCACATCTTGAAGCTGCATCAGGAGATGCTTCTTCCCTAAGCATACTCACAGTAACATACGAGTAGTAACTTTTCAAGCTGAGGAAATGCGAGTCCGAATATGTCGGAACTCCTGATGTACCACTTATAGGCCGTTTGAACCTGATGCGAGGCGCTTGGGATGAACACAACGGAGACTGAGTCTCCAGCTTGCTCGCGCAAAAGGTCGCTATGGCAGGCTTTCTCCAGGGCCTCACACTTCTGTCTGACGCAATCCCTGATGCATCCACACATTTGGAGGCTCCCCCAAACAAGCACCATGATCTATCACACACTCAGAACATTTCTGTAGGTCCAGCCCTTGTTCTGCACCAAGAGGACATGTAGACAAGAAAATACAATACCATGGTCTTACTGGTGTCAATTTCTAACCCACACCATCCCACACCTACCTTCACACTTCCCACTGTCACACTTTGAGTCTTTTTGTGAACCCCGAAACATCCCGAAACGGACCGAACCCGAACGTCAACGGACCCTTTCCGCGCGGACCGAACGGACCTCGTTCAAGGCGTCTTCGGCGTCCGCGCGGCGGTTCAAGGCCGCCAAGGCGCAGGCCCGGCGGATCCACGCCTCGCGGAGTGGCGGAGACGAAGAGTGTGGTGTGGAGTGGCGGGCGCTGTGAAGCAAACGGCCGGTGGATCAGGTGAACGTGGAAAACGATCGACCATGTGCGCTTTTGGGGTGTGTTCTGTGTTTAAGAAGCTGCATCGTTTGGAGTATTGAGATGTATTTTGGCGCAATGACCCTGTTTTGGCGCAATCAGCGGCTCAGCTCATGCGGATCCCAGGAGGCTCGTCAGACATAGATGCTTCTGCAGCAAGTGATCTGCACTTCACAATGTCCTTCAAACTTGCTTATCACCAGTTCCCCTGCAACTCTGGATAAACATGGTGACTGAGAAAGGATGGATTTTGCCCCATGACATGCAGCCCGGACCTCACCTTCAAATACTTTGGCTCCAAGTCACAGGCGGCTGTGGCGTCCTTTCAGAGAGAGTCTATGGGATGTGATGCACAACTGAAAGGTCGTAAATCAAGTTGTCACCTCTGACAGAAGTGATTAAATGGTAATCTGCAGCAAAGGAATACGTTGACTTGAAAAGACATGTCTCAAGTGAGTCTAATATAGTCTAATCTCTTCCTTATGTATATGTTGTATAATATATAATATATACACTGTCCACTTTAATTTAGGACTTGTCGAACGATTCCAAAGGCCAATGTCATCAGGCTTGAACCAACATGGTCATTTTCTCTTAAGTCCTAATTGTCATCAGGCCACAACAATCACAATCCACGGAAAACATGAGGCGTTCAGTGAAGATGCTTGTTTCCTTTTTTTGTGGGGTTGCGAATATATTTTTGTTTTTTTTGTTTTTTTGTTTTTCGTGTTTCGTGGCAGGTGCAGTACTTTGTGGACCTTGCAAAGCACATTTCGTGGCAGGTGCAGGACCTTGTGGGCCTTGGAGTGCAGAGTTTGGGGCAGGCGCAGGACTTTTTGTGGGCCTTGAAGTGCAGATTTCGTGGCAGGTGTAGTACTTTGTGGCCCTTGGAGTGCAGATTTTGTGGCAGGCGCAGGACTTTGTGGACCTTGAAGTGCAGATTTCGTGGCAGATGCAGGACTTTGTGGGTGTGGAAGTGTAGAGTTGGTGGCAGGTGCAGGACTTTGTGGGCCTTGGAGTGCAGATTTCGTGGCAGGCGCAAGACTTTGTGGACCTTGAAGTGCAGATTTCGTGGCAGGTGCAGTACTTTTGGATGTTGAACTGCAGAAAGATAGAAAGATA